TACGAGTAATTACCACACTAGCCGGCTAGTGTCACAAGGCGAGATTTACTCAATGCACACCCTCGAGTAGTGTGTGGTTTCCCTCGTCACTCAAAATATAAACATATGTTGGGCGGTGACTTGGAGAGCCGAGTCCAGCATCCTGCCATCGAAATGTGGCATTTCTTGCTACACAAGTATAAGGACATAAAATTGCGCCTTTGCCAATAGCTTTTAGCGTAGTGGTACGCTTGATCCTAAGAACATATGTTTACATTACATAAATAATTAATGAATATGTCCTAATGGCATTATTGGTCTAGTGGATGAAAAGTCTCACTTAAAAACTTGCTTCTTGCGGCAGTGTGCGGCTTGGGGGCAGGTTCATATGGTTTAAGATATAGTTCGGTAAAGTCAAAAATTTTGAGCTAGCAAAATAATAATAATAACAATAATATATATATATATATATATATATATATATATATATATATATATATATATATATATATATATATATATATATATGTATATATATATATATATAACAGAAGTATCTAGACAAGTTTTCCCGCCCAAACTCAAGGTTATTTTAGTAATATTAAACATTTGTACAAAAATTTCATTTAGAAGGAGTATTTAGAAACTTTAAATAATTAGTTACACTTTTCATTTGAAAAATCTTCCAAAGTATGTTTATGAAATTTTACACCTATAAATACAATGGAAACAAATTGTATATTGCAATCTTGATCTTCTCCATCTACGGATGCTCATGTAATTCGGTAAAACAAATGAAGAGGCTACCATCTACGGATGCTCATCTATAGATTGTAGAGTCTGTAATCTTGATCTTCTCCATCTACGAATACTAATGTAATTCGGTAAAATAAATGAAGAGCTTGCAATCTACGGATGCTCATCTACAGATTGCAGAGTCTGCAATCTTGATCTTCTCCATCTACGGATACTCATGTATCGGTAAAATACCCAGTGAAAGCCCAACAGCAAACCTCGCAAAATCGTAAAACATAAAAAATAAAGACCTTGTACACCATAATAGGCAAGAAACGAATTGTATGTTGACGGTTTTAAATTATCTATGTTTCGATGTATGTATGTAATGATCAATGCACAACCCGTATATTTTAGAACTCATTTCAAATTTCCTGGTGATTACTACACTTGAATAAAATCCTTAGTTATTCATTCCAATTCTTCGTTTTATCATTACAATTCTTCGTTTTATCATTCTAATTCTCTCTTATTAAAAATGATGCATCGGAAGCTAAACATAGGTCATTGTATCATTCTATATATCATTGATTGTTGATTTCAATTATTACTAATCTTTATCATTAATTGCACAAAACTGCGGATTTAGTTGAAGTCTTCTGATGCACAGTTATTAGTTAAAATGGTGATTACTATACTTGAATAAATGAAATAATAGTATTAAATTTGTAGCATCAATTTGAAATCTATTCTGTTAAGATAATAATAAAAATAATAATAATAATAATAATAATAATAATAATAATAATAATAATAATAATAATAATAATAATAATAATAATAATAATAATCCAAAACTCTTAATATAAGTTCGGAATTAAATTTTCCTATTAAATCCATTTATAACGGTAATTACAAATATAGAATTAGGAAAAATTAGCAGGATTGATATTAGCTAATCAATTTTCTAATATAATTTCTCTAATATAATTTTTCTATCATATTTTAATTAATTGATACTTTTCCTAATATATCTTATCTAAAAGGCTTCCTCCCTCTTTTTATAATACCGATCCATATGTTAATCTGTTTATTATGGTAATCTATATTGGTAATTACCATATACTATTTACCATCTTTATAACCCGTGGTAATTACCAACCATATTTAATATCTAAATTTATTATGATAATTAAACATAGAGAATCCCTTCTTACGACAGTTTTATATTTTTTTTTTTTTACTTTAAATAATATCAACTACCCATGCACTTCATTTGATTACTTTTGAATAAAATCTTAAAAATTATGGCAATTAAGAAATTATTACTTTCTATAATATAAATTTTATCTAGTAAGTTAAAGGAAATTGATAATACACATATTACGTCCATAATTAAAGGAGATTAAAAAAATTATGATAATTATTTCAATTCATAAATTATTGCGCTAATTCACATATTATTATGTCCATACAATTATGCAAATTATTCCAAATTTCCAATTCACATATTATTACACATATAAAATTATGATGATGGTTACTTTTGAATAAAATCTTAATAATTATGGTAATTAAGAAATTAATACACACATTATACTTTTATTAAACTATTTTTAATACTTGCCGTTATATAGATTTTATCTAATCAATTAAAGAAATTAATGGTACACACATTACGGACATAATTAAAGGAAATTAAACATACACATATTACGGACATAATTAAAGGAAATTAAACATACACTTTACATCCATAATTAAACAAAATTAAACATACACATATTATTTTATTAAGAATAATATATACTCCTTAATTAATTACCATAATTATTCAGATTATGTGGACGTCATAATTAGCATAATATTAACTAAGAATAATATATACGGAGTATTTCTTAATTACCATATAGTAATCATAATAAAACGACCTCGTTTTTATTGAAATTGATGATAAATTTTCCTGCCCATATAGAAAATTAAACTTACATATATTACTGTGGGCAATTAAAGGAAAATAAACATATACATATTACGTTCATAATTAAAGGAAATTAAATATACACATATTACGTCCATATTACCAACCTATATTTAACACTTTAGTCTTACTATGGTAATTAAACATAGAGATTCCCTTCATTTGATTTTAGTATATTTTTGCTACTTAAAATAATATCAATTAGCCATGTTCTTCCTTCTAATTTTTGTTTAGACTTTTCCTAATATAATTTTTAAGTAATCAATTTCAACACTAATATACAAATCTTATAATTTCAAATAAATCTACACTTTCAAATATTAAAATTTTTTTATAATTTCATCATTAATTTTATTCTTTAAATATATAATCAAAAAATTTATTCGTACATCGCATGGGTAATTTACAAGTAATAATAATAATAATAATAATAATAATAATAATAATAATAATAATAATAATAATAATAATAATAATAATTTTGAGTACACAATAAGAGACAAAATAGAATACTTATACTCTTATAGCATTCACAATTTGGTGACAATATAGTCTTTGTCACCATAATTTCAACTATATTTTGGGTAATGGTAAATTATATTAGTGACCCTAATATTAATACAAGAGCACGAGACATACCCTAGTACAACAAAAAAAGTCAACGGCCACCAAAAAAAAATGGAGTGGGAGTCCAAATACAAGAAGCCTAAATCAAGGCATAAAAGTTAAAATAGACTGACTGGGATAACTGCTACAGGACCAACCACTTGCCCATCCAATATACAAAAAGAAATATACCAATTAGACTAATCCAAAGAATAGCCGAAGGCAAACAAATATGCAGGGCATACCCCAAAAAAAAATGATTAGGAAAGAAAGAAAAGAAAGAAAAGCGCCAATCGAAGAACATTAACGAAAAACACAAAAAGTAGATTTTTTTTTTAAGAAGAAGATGAAGAAGAAAGAAAAGGAGGTGAACACAAAGCAGCTGATAAGAGCGGGAGCCACCAAGAGAGCGAGAAGCAAGAAAAACCCGAGAGAGGCCAAACAAGCAAGAAAATAGAAGCAAGAAGGCGAACAAATACACGGGGCATAGCCCGGAGAGACAATGAAGGAAAATAAAGAAAGAAAAGCGTCATCCGAAGAACAACAACGAAAAACACAAAAAGGAAATGAAGAAAACACAAAATATGGAAAAGGAAAACAAGAAGCAGTAGACAAGAGCGAGAGCCACCAAGAGAGCGAGTGGCAAGCAAAACCTGTGAACGAGCAACCAAGCAATAAGACACAAGCAAGAAGGCGAACAAATACACGGGGCATATCCAAGAAATTAAAGACAAAAATTATCGAGATTTTTTATACTTAAAAACATAAATGGCAGGATACATAGCAAAAAGGAGTCTAAAACATCTCTTTTAAAAGATGGCGTACAATAACTGCACTCGGGTTTTTCTATCTTTTTTTCCAGATCTTCTGGAAAAGTCAGAAACGCGTTTTTGCTAACCAAAATTCCATGTATAATCTCAGTTGTATATTTCTAAATCATCTCATTTTACAGCAGTTGCTTAACACTTGCATTTTACCAAGTTCAGCGGCAAGGAGATTAGTCAGCATTTACACGTTTCGATCCAACAACAAGATGTTATTCGTAACGAGTTCTTTTTTTGCTTCGTTCATTGGCCAAATTTTAGTATGCGAAATTTTTGAATTGGCAAAAAAACACTTACGTATTGAATTGGCGTGCTTATGTGCAGGCTAAGGATGGGAATAGACTAGGCCCATTTGTAGGGGCCTATGACCTGGCCTAATTAAGGCCTAGTTAGGCATGACTTGTTTAGTAAAAAGGCCAGACTTGGGTCAATTTCAAAGCCTATTAAACAAAATAGGCATGCATCCATGCGTACGTACATACATATATATAGGGAGGGGTTCAAGTGAAAAGGAAGCCTCAGGTGAAACGTGCGAGTATATCTCAGCTATCCATCAACTCATCTTAAAAAAAAAAAAAAAAAAAAAAAAAAAAAAAAATCGCCACATGCGAGCCACAATAATGTGCGCTAGAGGAGGAACAATGTTCACTGGAAGGCCAAAATTTGCTCTGTGAAGCACTAAAATATGCAACAACTATTGAAAATAATAAATTTAATACATGATCTTCAACACACATTATAAAATATCACAATATTCAACTAAAATTAGTAATTAATAATTCATTCAAGATCAAATGTTCTTTAATATATATATATATATATATATATATATATATATATATATATATATATATATATATATATATATATATATATATATAACACCTACGATCTTAAAGGTTGAAGGCACAACATTGTGCACTGTAAGGTAAACAATGTACACGAAGGCACAACAATGTGCACTGTAAGGTACAACAATGTACACGTACTGGAAGACGGGACAATGTGCATTGGAACTCTGGAAAGACAAAAATGTGCATGGTAAGGTTTAAAGGTTGAAAGCACGACAATGTGCACTATAAGGAACAACAATGTGCTCCGGAAGAAAGGACATTGTGCACTGGAACTCTGGAAATGCAAAGATGTGCATGGTAAGGTTTAAAGGTTCAAGGCACAACAATGTGCACTGTAAGGGACAATAATGTGCACTGTAAGGCACAACAATATGCTCTGGAAGAAGTGACAATGTGCACTTGAACTCTGGAAAGGCAAAAATGTGCATGGTAAGGTAGAAAATATAAAATAATTATTGAAAAGACTAAATTTAATACACGATCTTCAACACAAATCATAAACGATCACACTATTCAACTAAAGTTAGTAATTAGTGATTCATTCAAGATCAAGTGCTCTTTTAAATTTTATATATATATATATATATATATATATATATATATATATATATATATATATATATATATATAACACCTACAAACTTAAAGGTTGAAGGCACAACAATGTGCACTGGAAGGCAAGGAAGAAAAAAAAACTTACACAAAATTATAATAATACCAGCGCGTTTTTTTTTTTCTTAAATTGCTTCAGTCTGGACGTTGATCTAATCTTATTAAATGGATGATATTACATCCTATTTTTCACCTAAGCCTTCTTTTTCACCTGATCCTTTATATATATATATATATATATATATATATATATATATATATATATATATATATATATATATATATATATATAATTTATCTTTAATATTAAGTTAGTATATATTCTATTTTATACCTAATATATTTTTATAATTATAATATAACCCCAAGTATATATAATTACCAAACCCTAACCCTCCACCCCCAAAATCCCATTTTAAAGTCTAATTTAACTATAAACATTGCTGTTAATCCAGTTATAATTGTTCTTATTGTTTGATTACTTATTAATTGTTCTTACTGTTATAATATTTAATAATATGTCACGACTTAATTATGTGAATTGATTATTAACTATTTATGAGATTATATAGGATGAGAAGCAATAATACAATTGAATTTATTCTTAAACAAGTTGACGAGCATGCTGGAGTCGTGAGTTTTTTGTTTTAATGCTATTATGTTTGCATTGTATTGATATATTTATATAGTTGTGTATTAATTTTGTGTTAGGTATATTTCTTAAATTATTTAAAAATAATTATTAAAGTTTTTTAAAAAAAACTTAACATGTAGACTTTAAATTAAATAGGCTCAAAGCAGGACTTACTTTGAAGTCTTTTTAATGGCCTACATATTAAACAAGCCTTTAAACAGTCTTCAGGCCAGGCCAGACCAATTGTTGACTTAGGCTTGAGCCTAATAAAAAACTTACATACAGGCTCAGGCCCAGGACTAAGCCTTGGCCTTAGATTTTTGTAACAGTCCTAGACCTAATTTTCTAAAGTTCGGCACGGCTCGACTCGACTTATTTTTATTCCTGGGCCAGGCTGCAAATCCATTTATTTTAATCATATTTATAATTATTAGAATTTAAAAAAAAAAAGGAGCCACTAGGGTTTCTAAAGTTGTACATGCAAAAGATCCGCCGCTTGTGGAGTTTAGAAGTTTTCAAGTCTCAACCCTAAAGGATAATTATTTTATTAAAAAACCCGAAAAAAAAAAAAAAAAAAAAAAAAAAAAAAAGCGTGATACCTACGCTGAGTCCTTTCTGTGCAATATATATTTGGTCATTCGGGATGCTCAGCTTGGAGTTGGATCATGTTGAAGCTTTATTTTCCGACGTGTTTTCGGTCGATCATGCCGCTGCAGCTTATGCTGAACCCAACCAAACCTCCATTCATATCTCACGCATCAACCATCCATCCAGGTACATATCTGTATCTATATACATTCATCTTTTGCAGTTTACCCCCTTCCCACAACATATATATCCTGTTCACCGTTCTTCTGACGAAAATCTACTCAAACACTAGAATTATATTTTATGTTGTTACAGATATATGTCAAAAATCCTCACGTAAATTAGATGTCAAATATATTATTATTTTTTCACTTAAAGAGTATTTTTTTAATGAAAATATTATATTTAGAATAAAATTGTAATACTTTTTGTTACAGATCTGAAATTTGTGAAGTTCAGCGCACAAAATATATGGAAGCACAACACACCTTGCCAGGGTAATTTCATTATTGACATGCAAACAAAACAAAACAAAATGAAATCTTAATTTTATTTCAAGTGCATAATGCAGGTAAGTATTTACAAAGTAAAACAAAAAACAACAACATTCTATTATATTTTTGCATCTCCATCATGTATCATGTTTAGGAGGATGATCATGTTTAGGAGGATGATCAACAAGGTTGTTTTTCTCATCATTGCTATCGCTAGTATGTAGTACTTTCATTATCTTCTCCAGCTTCTCTTCTCCTGCTTCCGTCTTCTCTTCACCTTTCTCCTTCTTCCAGTAGCTCCCCTCTTCATACACCACATTGGGTTCCGCCACCGCCTCTTCCTCCTCATACCTCCCCTGCATTTTGCAACTCTCGTTCCCATTTTACATCTTGGCTTCCACCTCCTCCGCATTCATTTTCCTGCCCAATCATTTACGTTGTTGCTACTTTTTCCCTTTATTTTTCTTCTCCCCTATCGCTTGTTGTTATCTCACCTTAGCCCTCTTCAATTTATAATATAATTCTCATCCACATATCTCTCATTCATGGTTCATGTCCCTATTTTCATCATTGCTATTATTTCATGAATAATTATTAATCACTTTTTTTTTGTTCATATGCATCTATGGTTCAGATTAAAGGATTAATCCTTTTGTTAACAAAATTAATGTGTTTTCCATTTTTTGGAAAAAAAATTTCTTTCCTTTTCTATATGGCCAAACTTTACTCTAATCCAAAATGGCAAACACAACTTTAGGAAAAAATTTAGTTTTACATAATTCCAAATTCGTACAATGCCATAGGTAAAGAAATTGACAAATTAGAATTATTGTAATATTTATCCTAGATTTCTTTTTTGTGTGTGCATAAGATGATTTGATTTCATAACTAAAATTTGTGTCTTTTAAATTATTGACAAAATATAAAAAGAAAGACATGATTACTTTACTTTTTTCCATAAAAATGAAACAAGGCACAAATTTTAATTATCATAATTCAAATCATCACATGCACAACAAAAAAGGAAAAAATAAAAAATAAATATTACAATACTTCTAAATTGTTAATTTCTTTTTATTTTTTACCATTTATAGCAATATAAAAGAATTTTTGTTTTATTTTTGGGAAAATGGCACTTTTTCCCCCTAAATTATATACATATAGCACTTTTTCCCCCTCAATTATTTATGTAAGCACATTAGCCCCCTCAATTATTTTAAAAGTGGTGGTTTTTCTCCCAAATATATTAAATTGACACTTCTACCCTTAAAGCAAACATTTTATTTATTTTACTTCAACAAATTATTGCGTATATGTAGCGATTCCACGGTTCGGTTCGAACTGAACCAGACACTATAGCAATCGAATTAAAAGTTTTCAGTTATGATTCAGATCTAGAACCCAATATTTGTATTTCAATTTATTAAATTTAAGAATAAAAAAACTGGATCATGAACCGTGAACCGGCGATTTCGGATCCAGTTTGCGATTTTGAACCGTCTTTATTTTAAAATAGTCTAAATTCAACAATAAATATATTTTATTTTTTCAGTTCGGAACATGAACCAGCCATTCCGGTTCGCGATTTTAATAAACTCTAAATATCGCGTTTTGATTATAAATTGTAATTGGAATATTTTGGTTTGGTTGCTATAGTATCTGTTTGGTTTGAACCAAATTATAGTAATAATTTGTTGGAGAATAAAAATAAATGAAATATTAATTTTAAATATTTATTTTAAGGGTAAATATGTCCATTTAACATTTCAGGGGGAAAAAGAGCCACTTAAATAATTGAGGGGGAAAAAGTGCTATAAGTATATAATTTAGGGGGAAAAAGTACCATTTTCCCTTTATTTTTTATTGGTATAAAAGGTAAAATAGTAAGGTTGTGTATGTGTGCCATTTTGGAATAGGGTAATTTTTTTCCATTAAGATATTTTTTTCTTAGGAAAGACATTACTTATATTATCGATTCAGGATCAATCCTTAGATTTGAGCAAATTGATGAATAGGAACTAAAAAGAAAAAAATGATTAATAATAATAATAAATGAAATAATAAAATGGTGGAAATATGAGATGAACCATGAGTGAGAGATATGTGGATGAACACTATAAATTGAAGAAGGCGATGGGTGAGATTGCAACACCCAAGACAAGAGAAAAATAATGGAAGGAAAAAGCAGTGACAACGTGAATGATGAGATGTTGGGTGAGAAAAGGAAAGCAAAGGAAGTCGAATTCGAGGTGGTGAATGAGAACGAGAGTTCAACAAGAAGTGGAAGCATTAGGAGGAAGAGGCGGTGGCGGAATCGAAGGTGGTGTATGAAGAGCGGAGTTGTTGCAAGGAGGAGAAAGGTGAAGAGAAGGCGGATGCAAAAAGAAGGGGAGGAGAATAAGATGAACAAAATTACTACTAACGATAGCAATGATGAGGAAAACAGCTCTATTGATTATTCTCCTCTCATTGCTCCTAAAGATGATGGAGATGCAAAAATATACTAGAATGTTGCAATGTTTTGTTCTACTTTGCAAATGCTTCCATGCATTATACACTTGTAATAAAATTTAGATTTCTGTTTGTTTTGTTTGCATTCGAATAATGAAATTACATTAGCAATCTCAGTGTGTTGTGTTTTCATATATTTTGGGCGCCTGCTTATATAGTGTACCTTCAACCAATCAATTAATTTTCATTATTATATGTTTGAAGTACATTCTACTTTTACGATACACTTCTTTAAATATAATTACCCATCTGATAAATAGCCCTTTGGCCGGTTTTTATGAGAAAAACTAGTTGTTCTTTTTTTAAATAAGTACTTTAAAGTATATCTTATATTGAAATTGTTCATGCATAGATAATTAAATATTGAATTTGCGTATTTGAATAGGTAATTCTAAATTTACAAAAGCAAGATAATATAGTCAAGATTGATTATAATTGTCAATAAAATAATTGTATAGGTATGGTTGAAACCAAATACGGAACATAAGGGAGAGCAAATAAAAATTAGGGCATAAAATATTAAATATATACTAATATTGAAGAGCTAACTGCTGATTGCCAAACAATAACATTGCG